GGGCCGGGGAGGGCGGGCCGGCGGTCGCAAGAGCAGCTTTGGCAATTTTGGGCTGGTGTAGATTCTTGCATGCGCTTGTCGCCTCCTTCCTGTTGAGATTGCAGTATGTTTGTTGTCGTTTCCATGCAGTGTTCAACGGTCCCTCCGCATCATGTTTATGTGGGCCCAACCCTTTCTGTGAGCCCAACCCTTCACATGCCGCTGTAAAGTTGCCGTGCAGGAAGTCATTATGCGTCAGCCCCGCTGTCCCGACGGCGCGCTGCCCAGGGGCTGTCGAGCAACGGAATGGGCCCTGCCCACGGTTCTGGTTTGGCAAAAAAAGGGCAGGAGCAACGGCCTCGCGCGTGGTCGCTAATTTACAGGCCTAGGGGTCAAGGCGGTTAAGGCCCGCGCGGTCCACTAGGGTAGACCAGCTCATTTGCCACGCGGCGCCTGCTGCCGCCATCAGATAGGGTCAAAAACGGGCGGCATAGCGTCCACGCGCCCCTGGGCTGCGGGGAAGGGAGCTCCGCGCCGGCTATTCTGCAGAGACTCCGCCTCTCGGCGCTGCGGCCCCATCCTGCTGCTGCTTCTGCTGCCGTGCTGCTGCTGCTGCGGCGGCCGCCGCCAGTGGGGCGAGGGCCGCGGCGGAGGGCCGACTAGAAGAGACCGGGGCCGGTGGTGGCGGTCCGGATGATCTGGAGGAGGGCTGCGGGCGCAAATGGGGGGCAAACAAGGAATTGCCAGGGGCGAGTCAAATACAGGCCCAAGGATGCTGGGTCTGACGCGCAATGGGCGGACTTGCATATGAGACGGCACGTGCAAGCAAGCATGCATGCACAGCTAGTGCGCCATCATATCTGCTGGAGCCTGGGCTACCTGGGCAGGATGCGAGAGGCAGTGCCCCAAAGCGCTGGGGTGTGCGGGCAGGAGCAGCGCGGGCGCTGCAGCGGCTATAGCGACGCTGAAGCGCACCAGAGCCAACCACCACGAACAGGAAGAAGCCCAGCATGATCGAGTTGACGGAGCTCTTCTCCTTCTGCGCAAAAGGCCATACGAGAGAGCCAGGGCGGGGATTCAACGACAACTTGGCTGTGGCCGGCCCGTCCGCGCTCGTGCAACCCCTCGACTCTGAGCAAAGCTATGTGACCGACATACAATCTTATTCCACTCCAACGCGTCAAGCCGGCGATCCGCCGAGCCCGCGGGTGGCTGCCTCCGAGCGACCCGCTCTTGGACCCTTCACCCACCTTCTCGACCTCGACCTGGCCACGCTTGTGCACAAGCTGGTGGAACTTGCCGCTCTTAGCGTTGGTCACGCGCTTGCTGGCAGCCATCGTGCTTGTGTGCTCGGAAGAAGGTGGCGTGGGGTCGTTGGCGAAGGGGAGCTTGTGAACACGTATATCACAAAAGAAATTGTGTGCGTAATATGGACATGCAGGTCCGCAGCCCGTGCTCGACATTTCTTGTTGCCGAAGGAAGGGGTGAAGGGGAAGCCAGGTGGCAGCTGGCAGGTGCTCGTCCCATGATGAGAGCAGCAGTGGCATGCGGGCGGCCCACAGGCTCAGGCAGAAGATTACCAGCTGTGATTACCGAACAATCATGCTTGTGACTGCTCTGGCATGCCCACCAAGGCTGAAAGGCATACGGGTGATACTGTAGCTGCCATTTGGTGTGTGACTCAAACAAGCAACGCTGCCAACCTCCCCAGAGGCGATCAATTGCGGGGTGAAAGCTGCAATTGATGCATCCACATCGCAAGAGGCAGGCAGATACAACAGACACTCTATGACTGCGTTGGTGGACCACCATCATGTAAGGGGACTGGGGGCTGATGGGGTGACGTGCACGGTCCATCATTGCGTCCGTTTCAAGGGGGCCGGCGTAGGTTGGACCAGCTCATGGTATCATAGGAACGAGTCTTGATTATGCCACCGCCGCCTGGCTGGGCACTGCCGCGATGCGTGGCGGAGTTGGGTTCGTTGTGTCTGGGCAAGGGCCGGCTTCATGGCAAGTGCCAGTGCGCGGCTCCAAGCATCATGCGCAGTGATCAACTCAGCTCAGGTGCGCCACCAGGTCGTACCAGATCTGTTTCTGTGCATGGCACCCACCATCGTTGGATAGAGCTGTGCTTTCCCACTACAGGTGAGTGGCTGTTCAGGATGGGGGTGTGGGACCTCAACAGCGTGTGTGAGCTGCGATGCTCATCCAGGCGCACCTCGCTGCCCAGGCCCCAGTCCTGGCTTCTGGGCATGGCCCATTGGCATTTCAGCCCAGTCATGGCTGCAGGGGTTTGTTGGAATGGGCTACAAATTACATTAATCGGCACACCTGATGCTTGATGACGCACGCACGTGCAACAAACAACATGAGCACACATGCCTGGCTCTTCGTGGCTGGTACCCCACAACTCTACCACGCATCCGTGGTGGTGGTCACATGTGCGCAAGTAATTATCCAGGAAAAAGTGGAGGGGCCCATATTGAACAAGCTTTGATATAACTGAAGGCAACCAAGGTTTGAACTAGGGAAAGAGATGGCGCACGGGTAGCATCGTGCGTCCAACAAGGCCGCAAACAACACACACACTGGACAGATGCCTGGTGCTCTGGCGCTGATTTGTTGTGATATGCATGTGTGCATGAGCAATGATGAAGCCAAGGACTGTGCACATTGCGCAAGCCCCGTGGCAAGTTAAACAAAGCATGTTGCCGTGGCCAATACACACGCACGCCACACACAAAGGCAGCTTTGGATTGCAACGCGCACGCAACCGCACGCATGGACAGCTTGCGAAGCAGCAGTGTGGGCCGCGCATTGCATAGTTGCATGGCGGCATGCCAGCCCAGGAAAGTAATGGCCATGAACACATCTCCCGCAAATGCTCAATTGACATGTCCAAGAGTTTTTTTTGAAGCCCAACAGTCCCAGTCGTTGCGTGTGAACAACAAAACCTAGCTAGCGGCGCACACGCGAGCGCTGCGGCTCGCTTGCTGCCTGTTGCAATTCCTGACAACACAAGTTTTAGGCGTGGACACAAATACTGGTCCGTTCGACCTGGCAGTGAAGGCGGTCGCTGATCCTGGAAAGATTCCTGTGCCAAAACACACACGCGGCAAGATGGTTGGCCCCCCCACACACTCACATGTTCAGTGCACATGAAACGCCCTGAGCTCTGCAAGGTGAGTGCAGCAGGTTGCTATGACAACCTAGATAATGGTTGGGTATCGAGAAATGATATCAATGCCTGCTTCAGCTGAAAAACTCATGCGACTGTCAGTGCTCAGCTGGCGTGCGCATGCAGCGATCAATGTTGAGCCAAAGGGGGCCCGGCGATCCCCGCCAAATCATGCCCATGGAAGCGGCGCCGCTGGGGTGTAACGCCAACGGCCATGTTTTAAACTGTCCTCCCCTAACAAGCAATTCCTGGGCCCCGTCACTGACGAGCGTCTCAGTTCGACGTGGTCACGCCCTCAGGGGAACGTTGTTGAGGGTGTCCTTGTAGATGCCCAGCGCGCCAGGGTAGGGACAGTCGCCGCGCATCCTGAAGAATCCGCTCTCGCCCCAGCCAGTGCCCCACCTGGCAGTTGGGATGCAGGGACAGAGCAGGGAGCGGGCTGGCCTCACACACGCAGGGTTGGAGAGTGCACGGATGTCCATGTCGTGGCATTCAGGTAGTGTCTCAATGTGCATGGGGCCATGGGCACACTGCCAATGTGCTGCACGCCATGCTTGTGTGGGTCCCCAGGGCCCAATATTCCCCCCCCCCCCCAAAACTGCCGCCTGGTCCTTGGCACTGTGCACGAGACCTTGAATGCACCCACTCACGAGTTTTTAGCTGTGAACACCTTCCAGGTCTCCGTCTTCTTGTTTACCGGCACAGATACGGCATCGCTGTCATCCCAAGCACGCGGCAAAGATGAGCAAATGCAGTGCGACGGCGAGGGTGTTTGGGGGGCACAAAGATGCAGCAAGTTCGCAAGCATTTGGCGTCCAAAACACCGCCAAGCTCCCTGTCAATTTACAGTGAGCCAATTGAGCTGCATGGTCCAAGGCACGCCAAATATGCACAGGCATTCCCCACTCACGCGTACGCGATGATGGCAACCTCATGATTGAGAATGGCTGTTGTGGCGCAGTCAAAGACTCCACTTTTGTAGTTCTGGAACGCGTTTGTGGCAGCGACGCCTACACTCATCACTGTGAGTGTGCATGTGACGTGTGTTGCGCACGCTTGGACGTGTGTGTGTGTGTGTGTGTGTGTGTGTCCAACGGGGAGCACGATGGGGGTGTGCACGCAGCTGCATTCGGCATGGTGCATCAAGGACCAACTTGGGGTTCAGCAGCCTCGCCTGCAGCCCTGCAGAGCTGCTGCAAGCTGCGCCTGCTGCACAGTGCAACGCCCCGTCGTCAGACTGCCTGAAAATTGACCCTGATGGGTGCTGATAGTTCTACTAAGCCCCGCACCCCTTGACACGCGCCCACCGTTGTGGTACAGGGCCCTCCTGAAGCTTATAAGATCAGCGGGCACGAAGGTGTACCTGCCCCCGGGCCGTCACAGCAGCGCAGATAAGTTTCTAAGCGCGACACCAACAGAGTCAGGGAGCTGGCTGGGTTGTGAAGCACAGGGACGGGCAGTGCTGATGAGGCAAGGCTCGCATCCGTTGCCAATGTTAGGCAGCCGAGCTGCTGATGGCTACCTGCCTCAGGACAGTCCAGCCTGCCGCTGCTGCAGCTTCAAGGAAGCGTGGCAAACGTGCATGGCGCCACCTGCCTCCCCGCTGGCTGATGGCAGCTGGCAGAGCCGAGACGCCTGCAGGTCTGCGGGCTGGCCGGCTCACCCCTTGATGCCGATGGAGGGGCGCGAGACAGTGGTGGAGCATTTGTTGGTGTCCTTAGCGGCGTAGGGCACGTCGCGCTCCCAGGCAGTGCCCTTGCAGACCGCGCGGTCCACGGCCTCGTAGCCGGATGCACCGCCACAGCTGTTGCCTGCACAGGTGGGATGCACGTGGATGTGCGTCGTCAACATTAAGTGCAGGTGGGGCAGCCGAGCCACTTGCTGTCTGCCCACGCGCCAGTCGTTTAAGCACGCAGTCTAAGCGATGCGCTATTCCAAGAGACTGGGGAGCAAGTGCTGTCTCCATGTTGCCGCGTGAAGCAGGTGCTTTTGAAAGGGCATCATTCCCGCCGCTCACCCGCAAGGCACTCCATGTGATCCTGTTCAGACAGGTCAACAGTCGAGTTCGTGGCGCCCTGGCTGCTATACTTTACTATGTAGGCGGCCTCCAGGGCGGCGGTGTTGGCAAACACGACACAGCTGCCGCACTGTGACAGACCGACAGGGGAAGAAGGCAGAGGGTGGCGAGTTGCAGGCAGGGACGTCGTCGGCAACTCATGAATGTCTGTTCTCCGAATGGGGGAAACGTGCACGTTTGGAACATTGGCAATTGAATTGATGGAAGGCATCAGAAGCCACCCCTTGCGACAGGCCGCCCCTCAAATTGGTGCGGCGGCGTTTCCTCACACTCTTTTGGTTGCGGATGGGCGTTACAGCCGCGGGCTTGGACGTGCGCCAGTCGACGACAGACAGGAGGGGGTTGGAAGCCAGGCCCGACGTTGCCCAAGGCGTGGGGCCGGTGCAGGTGTAGCCACGCTTCACTGCCAAAGTGCCAGCACCCATATCCGCAACGCCGGCATCGACGCCAGCTGTGGGTGTGGCAGGGAGGGTGCGCGAGGCCGACGAGGGATTGCAATGCGAGTGGATGTGGCAGGTGAGGCAAGCTAGTGGCTGCGCTGCCAGCCGTGGGCTTGTGGGTGGCTGTGTGTGCATGTGAATGTGCGTGTGCGTGTGCGACTGTGAGTATGCGAGAGAGAGAGAGAGAGAGTGTGTGTGTGTGCGTGTGCGTGTGTGTGTGTGTGCGTGTGTGTGTGTGTGTGTGTGTGTGTGTGTGTGTGTAGCATCTGAGTACATTTGTGCATGCATCCCCATGCGCATCTGCTTATTGTGGTGTGTGTTTGGGACTGCCACTGAAACGGGCAGAGACGAGGGTGCCCGCACTACCACGGCGTTGTGCAAGGGCAATAAGCTGCATTACAAAGCCCTCGGGGAAGCGGACTGGTTGGGTTTGCAGGATCGCGCAAAACACCTCAAGGCCCACTTGCCTGTCGGTGTTGCTGATGGGTCCTTTTTCCCCGTGAGGTAGGCGGACGCAAATTGATCCTTAGTCATGTGAGTGAACGGCGTGATGCCGTACGCAACGGTGTCGCCCGATTGTGCGTTGAGATCTGCGATCTCCTGGAGGGCGGATTTAAACGTCGACCTGACAGCTGCCATGTTTGCGCCATCCAACACGGCGATGTAGGGCGGGATATCGTCGCCGGCCGCAAGGAGTGACGCCCTTTGGTCGCCAAGGGATGCAAGGTGGGCGTCAAACGCGGCATCCGGCTTTGCCATGAGCGCCGCAAAGGCGGCCTTGTCTGCGAGGACCTGCGCCTGGATGGCGCCGCGGCGGACGTTGTGGGGCCGCTCTGGAGGGTGAAAGAGTGGGGAAGGGGGTGAGTGAGTCACTGAGGATGCTCGAGGCTTGTGCAAGTCGTTATTTTGGCAAGCTCCCTTACACATGGACGTGCAGGGGCTGTGGACCCCAGAGGGGGTGCATCCAAAATGGTGCAAGGCGCAATGCAATACCGTATTGCAAGGCGATGCAACGCCGAAACCACGCACCACAAGCAGCTGACGCTGCAGGACAACACAGCCACCTGGATCGCGATGAAAGCTGGGGTGACTATCAACACTGTCACTCACTTTGGCTGAACCTGACCTTCACAGGCTTGCTGGGCGGCTCTGGCGCCTGCGCAGCAGCGCCCGCGGCGTTAGCGGCCCGACCTGCAGCAACCGCTGCCGCCGCTTGAGGGTCGTTCAGGTCTGCGACGGCGCTGCCATCCTCCCCAAACGCCCTGAAGCTGGTTGCGTAGTTGGGCGGTACCGGGGCCTGGGCGCCGGACAGCGACTGTGCGGCTGCAAGCGCGGGCAGCGCGGCTGCGAGCGCCAGAAGTGTCGCTTGCCGCATCCCGTTCACGATGCCAGGCTGCTGCAGTTCGATTTGCCCCCTGGGCCGATGACCACAGCAATGGAGGTTGAGGCAGTATTTACATCAAGTGTGAGTACACCTCTGCCGTACACATTGATTGTGCGGCTCTTCGCGTGGGCGGCTCACTTGCAGCTCACTCACATTCACACCCCGCTTCACTGCGGATGAACGACTGGGTGCCCAAGTGTCACGTAGGTCAAGGCGTTCAGCAGACATAATACGGTAAGCATTCCCGTGGCGCTCCAACGATATGGGGGGTGGTCATGCATCGCACCGTCTTGAAGCGGGTGATTCCCAGCAGATCGCGTGCGTGAAGGTGATTCCGGTGATAAAACTGCTTGGCACTGTGCTATCAATAATCGTGAAGAGGCAGGCTCTCCTGTTTGAAGAAACTTGCCACCGGTTACTCAGTTACTAAGCACACCAGTCGTAGTGAACGCTGGCAGAAAGAGATACGACGTGATACTTTGACCAAGCAGAACTTACTGCGGTAAAATTATGTTACGGCTTTTTCAGACGCCGGGATGCCTTGGTTCGCGAGCCAGCTTCCACTGCAGCTTTACGGGGCGTTGGACGCGCTCAGACGCAACTTGTTGCTTCAGATAGACATGAAGTATGGATTTTACAGATGTCTTTCATGCATTTTTGCGTACCGTGACACCGTTCGTCCAATTTTGCACGACCTAAGTTTCTGAGGGTGGGGCCGAAACGGCTTGACCGCTGGCGTTCGCTGCGATATGAAATCCAGATGTGAATTACTGTGGATGACAGCAGCTTGGCACGACCTGAGCAGCGGAAATAACAACAGTCGGTAAGAACACCAGTCGACCAGCGAAGCCGCGGCGCCACTGAAGCGCTGAGCTGCACAAGTGCCGCAGAAGAGCCGGCTTCAAGAGCCTCGCAGAAGAGGCTCACAGAAGCGTCGCAAAGAAGAGCCGCTCGGGAGGGCAGTACAACAGAGCTGGGAGCTGCGACTTGCGAGCCGCAGTGCTACGGAGAAGCAGACCACAAGCTGAGCGCAAGAGCGGCAGCGCGGCGGCGCGGCGGCGCCGCGGCGCCGCGGCGCTGCAGCGGCTCTGAGCGGCAGAGCTGCGGAGTTGTGCAGCCATAGCTGCAAACCCACACAATTGCAGAAGTGCCTGTGTGCTGCATTGCCATGAGGGTGGAGAGCAGCAGGACAGCATGGCAGCACGACAGAAGTGTTGCAGCGAAGAGCTTGTTAGGAGAGCAGTACAGGCGAGCTGGGCGCTGCAACATAACAGAGCCGCAGCGGAGAAGAAGAGCACAAGAACAGCTGCAGAGCGCAAGCACGGCAGCGCGGCGGCGCGGCAGCGTGGCTGAGCGGCAGAGCAGCAGAGTCGTGCAGCCGGTTTTCAGCAATGTCGAAAATCCATACATGTGCAGAATTGCTGGTGTGCCGCAGTGCCACGAGGGAGGAGAGCAGCAGGACAGCTTCAGAGCGACAGCATGGCAGCACGGCACCACGGCAGCAGATTTGAGCGGCAGCATGGCCGAGTGGCGAAGTGGCAGAACGGCAGTGTGGGCTGAGCGGCAGAGC